AGGACTCGGGGCAGGCGATCGGGAGACGGCCCGCCGAGTTTGCCCGAAGGCCGACCCGTGCGGGAGGGGGCTTCTCTCCGCTGCTTTGCAGATGCCGCCCTCGGGATGGGGCGAGCTCACCCTTGAGGGTCGCCCTTGCACGTGCGCACAGAAGTGGGGGGGGGGAGGCTCCGCGTTGCGTGGAATCCCATTCGCGAAACACTTTATCCTGGAGTTGCTTTGCACGCCTTGTCACTGATGAGGGGCGATTTCGTCGCTTCGGGGTTTACGAAAACGGGGTGACCTGTAAAAGTCTTGATTTAGTCTGCAACATTCATTCATTCCCTCCATCAAACCACAGTCTGCTTAATCTGGAGTGATGATCACCCCCGGCTCCATAAGGATAGAGTTCAGGAAGGATATTTAGCGCGCATCCCTTCATTTCCAAGAGACTCTTTTAAAGTAATCTATATTTTGTCCTCGTTAATTTTCAGCACCACGTTAGTTTCACCCTACTCACCCCCGTATCGCTGTATCAGTATTACGGCGCTGCTAAGTTGTATCCTGCTTTTTCTTCGGCTACAGTTCATTTTTACTCGGTTCGAATCTCTGCACCAGCACAATCGAGGTGTAAATCTATACTACCCTTGTAGTTTCTATGGTTTGTGGTTTATTTTTAACATTCTACAGGCTGCGTGGAAAAAAATCTTTGAGGGTTATAATTATATATATTTATTATAGGAAGGGTTTATAGTAAGTCGCTCTAACCTTGCTCTTGTGTTTCTGAACTCTATAGTATTAGCCCTGTTTTTTTTCATGCAGTAGACATAGATGAAAATAAGATGGTTATCCTTTATGCTTCATCTATGTTGAAATAAAGCTTTCTTTTATGAAGTGAGACCAGTGGGTGGGCCATAATGAAAGACCAAAGAGAAAATTAGTTTTGAGACAGGATCTCTCGTTCCACTGCAGTGAATGTCCGTGTTCATTGACCAAGAGTTATTGAGACCTCACAGTCAAGTTCAAGACTTGAAGTTCAAACATTGGCCCACCAGACTGTTACGCTTTATTTCAAGAAGTTATAAAGGAATATATGTATATTCATACTTTGACAGAGTTGCTTCATTTCTTACCATATTTGTATGAGGGTAGAGCCATTTCTGCCTTGTGCCCCTTTCTTAGTCCAATGGGGACCTAGCAGTAAGTCCCAAGGCAGAAGCAGAAGTTTCTAGATCATACCTTACCCCTGCTGGGAACTGATTAGGCGGCTAAGGCAAGCCAGGTCCCGACAGCCTCATCTTCCTCCTTGTAAACAAAATCATCCTGTCCTTCCCGAAAGTGTTGTGTGGCTTCCCAGATGTTGTAAGAATTCCTATCAGCCTTAGCTATGATAAGGATGGGCAGGGGTTGCAGTCCAGTAACAGCTGGAGAACATTTCTCAACTCTGCCTTATGGGGTAGCTATGAAATGCTTGGAACATTTTGAATACATTTCAAAATGTTCAAAGCATTTCATATTCCCTATTTCAGAGCTTGGGGATTTCTGATTGACAGATGCTCAGGATAAAGGATCGGAAATTGCTCTTTCCATCATGAATCCTGGGCTATTTGGTTGGATAGTATAGAATATAAAATGCTAATTAGGTGACCCTTGGCAATTTTTACATTCTAGGAAGTGATTACACAGCAGATAATCTATTTTCCTGGCAATGTGAGTAGTTTGGTTGAGAGGAAGTTATGTGGTCTTCAGATCAGTTGAGCTGATGTGATTACTGCAGTGAAAGTATTTTAAATCCAGTGTGATCCATATAGCGGTCAGTGGTGAAACCCGTATTGATTGAATAGTAAATGAATCCAGCTTAATCTTTTGCCTGGGAGTATGTGTAAATCCAACCCAGTCAGCCTCAGTGGAGCCCCTTAAAAGAAAACCGAGAAATGTTTGCAATTTGAAGCGATTCGTCAGCTACAGGAAGACAGTCTAATCCACAAGGCCAACCAGTTCTGGAGTCCTCACATATTCCACTGAGTGCGTGTGCCTCTGTTGAGCAATACCTCTCTCCTCACTCCTCCCTCTCAGATGGTTTATTCCTTCTGTTTTCAAGAGAAAAATACTGGCCTGGGGGAAGGGAGGTCACTCCCTTCAAAACACTTCCAAAAAGAGGAGGGGGTGTGGACGGAAGAAATTTCACTCCATAGCCATGTTGTAATGACTGTTTCATCAAACGCTGTTTCTTGCAGAGTCCCCAGAAGCCTGTCTGATTTTTTTTTTTTTTTTAGATTTCTTTTCCCATGGTTTGTGATTCAGTACTCTGAAAAATAGGGCTTTGTAATGATCCTTTTGGGAGGTGTAGTCATTAAGTAATTCACTAGGATTACACTAGTGAATCAAGCATCTTGCTATGTTTATTCATTTCAAGCGGACTCAAAAATTGAGGACATATGTTGCACCGCAGAGGCTAGTTTCTGATCCTTTTTAAGCTAGAAGTTCTCAGCCCTGATACACATTCTATAGGTGTGAATCAGTAATAGTGTAGATAAGACTCAGGGTAAGTTAGTTAAACTTTACCACTCACCGTAAATAATAGTGGCAGAATTTTAGCGTCCTTGGAAAGAGTGGCTTTTTGTTTCTGTTGTGGCGAGCACTGGGTTCTTGGTAGTGTGGTTGGTGGGACTTACGATGTGGGTGTTGGAGTACCACCCTTTTGAATCTCTCTGGTTAACAAAGAGTGTAATCTTATTTGGACCCTCTTTTTCTTGTCCAGTCACAGAGTGAAGATACCTCTGATTGTAAAAGCCTTTTTGCTTAAGCTTATGCCTTATATACACACTAGTATTCTGGGTATGCAAAGAGGATTGAGATTATGCCAGGTTGAACCAGCCTTCTTCAGTATTCCCACCATGAGTATCTGTGACATCTTATCTGCACACAGCCTGTGTGTGTATGTGCGAGCCCAAATTATGTCATAGGTGCTCCACAAAGCCTGACTGCGTGACCTGAATCCACATGGGTGGGATGATTAAGCACCTAAACTCCAATGTGAAGATGATGCTCAGTGGGTGAACATTGGGCCTCAAAGCCTACCTATCCATTAGACCCAATCCTAACGTCCCACATAAATCCTGTAGAAAGCCATCATTTGCACAGACCAGTCAGAGCCATCCTATTGAAATACTGACTGAGAAACTCTGGACAACCATCATGAGGCTGCACTGTGTTTCTCTCGCTAGGGAACAATACCGCATTTGTGATTCTTACGCTACTTACAATAAAGTAGGAAAGGAGTGTGCAAAGAACTTAGTTGATGCCATATTGCGGGGTTTCATTTTCTCAGGAGGGGATGATCATGTGTGAATAGAAAGGATAACCAGATGAGTGGCTCTTGCAAAGAGTTCCTTCTGAGGCCTTTCCATGAAAACTGGCTGTGGTGATCATAATATGCCTCCTGCAACAAACATACCACTGCATCCTTCCCAAGTTAGCACAGGTAGGACTTGAAAGTACTTCCAAACAGAAATCAGGCACATTGTACGAATATGAACATAAATTTATGAACGAATATGAACACACATTACAAAAACGATTTTTAATTTGTGCAGTGTTGAAACTACTCAGAATTAATCCTGTTCCAATTTATTTCCTAATTCTTACCAGATCAGTCATGTTTGAAATTAAGAAAGTCTGCTGTATTGGTGCTGGTTATGTTGGTGGGCCAACGTGTAGTGTTATTGCTCACATGTGTCCAAAAATTAAGGTCACTGTTGTTGATGTCAATGAAGCTAGAATCAATGCCTGGAATTCTGACACACTTCCGATTTATGAGGTATAGTTGATCACCAATATATTTTTCCATCCTTGCTTTATTGTTCGTGCCTCTCTTCTGTGCTGCATCTCATTTGTATGGATTTCTGCAACCCTGCTACTGTGTTTATTAAATACGTTCTTATGGTTAATCATTTTTATGTCCTGTTCAGAGTGGCAAACAGAAGGACTTCCTGTTATACATTCACAACTGCCCACTGGGCAAAATAGAATGAAGACAAGGACTTGCTCTGCACCTTTCAATAAATGTTATTTTCAGAACAGGAACTAGGTTGATGGCAGATAGTCGTTGAATGGCTATCCTTTTGCACGGGCATTAGGAAGGTGTGGATTAAGTAAAATCCATTCCATCTGGAGGTCTGCTTTTCTTTTTAAAATCCAGAGAAACCTCTGATGAACCAAACTGAAGGAGTTAAGTTGAACTGATACTTAACACTTCAATGCCCTAGTGTTCATAGGACCTCATGCTTATTTTAGAAATCACCCTAGTCATAACACAACAGAGTCATTCTAGGAAAGAAACAGTATATAGAAGGCCTGGTCATCCCATACAATGCAGAAGGGATGTCCAAGTATGGGTTTTTTTAAGGGGGCTTTCAAATGCTCTCCAGATATTAAGTATAGATCTGTTGAGAATTAAATGCACAACTTCACTCCTATCAGGACCCTGGACCAACTTATATATCCCTAGTGAGTACAAATATTTATTAAAAAGGATACAGAACATGAGTACCTGATACTTGCCAGACTTGGAAGCCTTATTCACAAGTAATATTAAGGGATTTTTTTAACCGTCAGGCAGTGTCCTCGATTTCTATGTGACATTAGCTATAATGGAAAGAGTCTCACATCATCCTGAGCCAGATCAAACCTTAGTGTGATTTGGAGGGGCATATTTTAATGAAGTATGCATGCTGCTTGCTTAGCGTAAGCATTCGTTAGAAGTCACAATGACATCAAAGTGATGTTGCATGCATCATGACATCATTGCATAAATGACACAAGTTAAATACTTGCGTCATGTTGCATGGAGAAGACACATGCAACATCCTTTATCCTGCTTTGTGCCCCTGAGCTATGTTTCTCATGAATAAAGCACATTTTAAATGCTTTGTTTGCTGATTTTTTTTTTCTAGCCAGGACTTAAAGAGGTGGTAGAATCTTGCAGAGGAAAGAATCTCTTTTTTTCCACCAATATTGATGATGCTATTAGAGAAGCTGATCTTGTGTTTATTTCTGTAAGTAATTCATTTTACTTTTTAAAAGTTCAGATCTGCAGCTATGGGAAGCAGGAGAAAATCAGGAGGAGAGGCCCAGTTATTCACAAATGCAAGCAATGTTTTCACTCAGCTCCTAAATTCATTGGAGGAAGGAGATAGGAGGGGATTACAAGAAAACTCCGTTTTTGTGGGTTCCAGAAGCACAGATAGTTTAAAAAGCAGAATATTTGCAGAGTGCTAATAATGGGTTATACTGTATCCTCATTTAATGATAGGTTTTCCAGAGTCAACATAAAAAGGGGGACTAAGAAAGGATCATGTTCCTGCTTCCATATTTGATGCAGAAAATTCATAGCTTGAGTCCACAATGACCGAAATCAGTTCCTCTAAATTCAGTGGGAATGATTCACTATTAAGTGATAGAAGAGTTACTGGAATTTAAGAAGAGGTTTCTTATATTCCCAACAATTAGCATTTACATGTGCTATTCACAAGTGACAATTGGGTATGCGCCTTTTTGCAATACAAGAAGTTACAATTTGCTTGATTTAGCTCGGTGCTATCCATGCTAAGAGACAGCAACTCCTTAGAGTTTCAGATAGGAATTTTCCCCAGCCCTGTTCGAAGTGATCAAGGATTAAAACTGAGAATTCTGGCATGCAAACCAGGGACTTCTGCTGGGGGAGGGAAGAGGAGTCAAAATCAGCATAATGGCAGATGGAACATTGTGATGTGAGCTCGACCCCTTCTACGCACCAATCAACATCGCACACACATTCACAACATTCCATCCACCATCTTGCCAATTTGGACCCCACCCTATAGCCACTGCTGATAGAGGTCAAAGGTTTGCTATGCTTCCCCCCTCCCCCCCCCCACAAATATTGTCTGTAGGGAGACCCTGCGTGCATGTAGAGTTTCAGGATGGTCCTGTGTTTTAGGATAAGAATGCCAGGAAATATAATAGCACACGGCTCCCCTGCTAAAATGTATTTGCGGGTCCAATTTAGGGAAGTTGGGTTAAAGGAAGGGGGAGGTTCAGTGCAAATTGAGAAGCGGGAAAGATAATGTTGAGCTTCCTTAATTCAATGCTGAGCAGCAAAGCTACTTTGAATTTACTTACATTTAAATAACTTAACATACACAGACAAGCCATGTAGTAAACACTGAATTCTGACAACTGGCAATACTTGAATGTGAAGGACTTCAGGCACACATCCCAGAAACAGCCCTGTTTCTCCAGATCTTAACAGAAATAAGGACATGATTCTCTTAATGATCCAAAGCTGAATCAGATTGTTACATGATGGTATGGCAGCCAAGGAAATAACAGGTTTTTCTAAAAATGTCTCATTTTTTAAAAATCTGAAACCTAGGTTAATACCCCAACAAAGACCTACGGTATGGGAAAAGGCCGGGCTGCAGACCTGAAATATATTGAGGCTTGTGCAAGAAGGATAGTGCAAAACTCCAACGGTTACAAAATTGTGACCGAGAAAAGCACCGTTCCTGTCCGGGCTGCGGAGAGCATTCGACGCATATTTGATGCCAACACAAAACCTAATTTAAATTTGCAGGTAAAATACCCTTGCTTTTGAACAGAAGAGATGCCGTTCTTGTCTGTGTGTCTGGAACTCAGTCTTTGCTCTTGGCTGCAGGTTTTGTCCAATCCGGAATTCCTAGCAGAGGGCACGGCCGTCAAGGACCTCAAGAATCCGGACCGAGTATTGATAGGTGGAGACGAGACGCCGGAGGGCCAGAAAGCTGTCCGTGCTCTGAGTGCTGTCTATGAGCAGTGGGTGCCCAAGGAGAAGATCCTGACAACAAATACATGGTCCTCAGAGCTTTCCAAACTGGTTGGTATCCTGGGAAAAGGTGAACGGTATATCAGCGTGGCAGTGAACAGCAAAATATTCACTGCAAAATAGAGAAAGGATGGCCTGTGCTTTTCATAATTTCACTGATTTACAGTCACACGGGATTATTCAAAAATTGAAAGCGTCTAGGCAGTACTTTCTTGGTTTAAGTGATCTTCTAGTGGGCCATAGTACGCTGATACCTCTTTATTAAGCCATTGGATGCTGGAAGCCGGGCCTCCCAGTCCCATTCTCTGATTTGGATAATTGACCACTAAGACTCTGTTTACACAAATTGGTTCACACAATACAGACATCTTTTTTTCCTTTCCTGATTTTTTTTTATTTAGTAGTCTACACTTGCAAACTATGGTTTATGGTTTAGCATCATGTGTGACATGTCATCATGGTTTGTTCAATAAGCAGTGATTCAAACCATGGCATAGCACAACTGTGTGAAACCAGCCATAGTTTTGAGGCTACCTCTATCAACTTAAAGCTGAGGAAGTTCTTAATTTATAAACTAGAGTTGAGATTCTCTGGAGATATATTTTTGCATCTGTCATTGCCTGGTTTGTGCAAGCATGTGTTATAAACCAGGATTGTGCACACTTCAAAAGGGATTCATGAGAAGGGCTTGAGCCCTCTTGCAAATGTTTGCACAACCTCTCCCTGCTGCTCATTAATGCGGCCCCTCTTTTTCCAAGTGAGTCTGAAAAAGATGTGGCTGCTTTAAGGAGTCAGCTCATTATAGTTGTGACTCTTAAGGCAGCTGCATCTTTTGCTCAGGCTGGTATGGAAGCCTGAAAATGAGGGGCTGCTTTAATAAGTAGCAAACAAGCATGGTGCCTGTGTTTATTAACCCCCGGGGGGGTTAAAAAAAACTCAAGAAGGTGGCTGCATCCTTGTGACTGAAGCCCCCCATCTTTTTACACTGCTGCCATCTTAACCTTTTTGGCTACCCCTGTGGACACTCCTGTGCATGAAAAGTCTCTGAATCATTTTTAAGGCAGGCACAATCCTATTATCAATAATAGTAAACAAGGGTAATTATCTAATGGCAACTTTATCATTTTCTTTATAATTTTCTTGCTGCAGTGCAGCTCCTGTTGTCTTGTTCTGCTAGTTACCGTCTTCCGACTGCATTTCAATAGAAATACCTTTGCAGTTTATGTTCCCTTTACTTCAATTCCAGGCAGCGAATGCTTTCCTTGCCCAGAGAATTAGCAGCATCAATTCCATCAGTGCCCTTTGTGAAGCCACGGGCGCTGATGTCGAAGAGGTTGCCAGAGCCATTGGAATGGACCAGAGAATTGGAAACAAGTTTCTGAAAGCCAGCGTTGGTAAGCTTGGAAGGGTGGTAACCTTCTAGCGGTGAGCAATCCAAGGGTGGGCAATGTATTCTTACTGGATTTAGTTAAAACATTTTAGGTAGGCCACCTTGAAGGGCAAAGGCCTTCTTGAGCCTGGCTTGTATAATACAGTTTCGTGTATCAGCAGAAACAAAAGGGATAAGATAGTACAGAAACGTGTTAGCATGTTAAATGGGAGAAGTACTTTTGAGGAAAGGCCAAAAAAACTGGCAGGTCTTCAGCATTTTCCTAGAAACCTATAAGGACAGGGTGCTGATACAGGCTATCCCATGGCTGTGGGCCAACTACAGAAAAGACTCCCCGTGTTTACTAAATTTGTTGACCTCAGGTAGACAAGGACAAAAGGCTGTGATAAGGACAGGGAGGTACTGGCGAAATAAATAACGTCTTCCTTGAATTGGACTCAACTCCTGGGGATTATATGGACATGTCTCTGCTATGTTGTTTTCTTGGAAACAGTATGGAAGTGCTTTGCATTTGCCTACTGCTAGAGAAGGGCAGGGGGATCAGTTTCCCAGTTCTAGGTTACACCTGAGACTTCTTGTAGCACCTAACAGACCTTGGCTAATCTCAAAAGGCTAATCCAAAGAAAAAATGGTTAGTCCTTGGATTGGAGACTGCAAAGATCAGTAGGTAGGAATGGTGGGAACATTTTATCCAATAACATCTGGAGGGACATTGGTTTGTCAGCTCTGCTTTATGCAATGTACTAATAACTAATTCTGTTATTTTAACAGACCTCTATAAACAATTTCAGCTGAATTTTAGTGCTGCTCTTCAGCTCAGATTTTCTGAAGACCTTTACCAAGTTTTCTCAGCATTTCTAGATTAATCTTTTTTTTTTTTTTTACACCTGTTTGCATCTTTTGGGGAAGGAACTGTTGCTCGACAGAAACGATTGATATAGCCCTGTTAAAACAAATCGTATCTATAATACAATTTGAAAAGAATGGCGAGTTTGTCTATCTGATGAACCCAATCAGAACACTCTTAGAAGTGAAATCTTTCACGTTAAAGCAGATTGAGTCTGAAACAAGAGATTAGGTTAAAAATGCTTGAATATGAAATACTTGTTGGTAATTCAAGTTACTTTTTTATCTGTGTAGCATTTATGCCATAAGAAACCAGATGACAAAAATGAAAGCATATCAAAAATACAAAACAAGTCACTACACAAATATGAATATGCTTAAGGTCATGCTTGCAAGTACTTCTCAAGCAGATTTCTCCCTGGAAACAGCTGCACATCTGGTTGTAGCCCCAAGAACGTTATTTTTAATCATCATTGCTACTTCTAGGGTTGCTCACCCTCAGAGGGAAAGAGTTGTTCTTTGGGGGAGATCCTGCTGATTAAATATCCGTGGAATCAAGACGCCCAGAAAGAAATCTGTGCAGTGCAGCATCAACATTACCTCTTTTTCCCCAGGATTTGGTGGGAGCTGTTTTCAAAAAGATGTCCTGAATTTGGTTTATCTCTGTGAGGCTCTGAACTTACCGGAAGTGGCTCGCTACTGGCAACAGGTAAGCGCGTGTGTGTATTTAGGGGGGGGTGGTGATTTAATCCTAACAGAATATGCTTAATATAATTTTGTTCCCATCTTATCACTGACAGTTTTGCTAGGAAGGGAAGCACGGTGGATGGTTGTATTGTGGTATAGATTACAGGAGTGCAACCTCTCATCTTCTCAAGAGCTGCGCCATTGTGTGCCTTCCAAAAGTGGGCAGAGCCAGAACCTATTTTGGGTAGAGATGTCAAGCCTTAAGCGTCAGCCTTTTAAACTCCCCACCCTTAAAAAATGCTGTCCCTGGGTATGATTTTATTGGCTGTTTATTATTTTTAAGCTATTTATAGCTTCATCCCTAGACAACTAACATATGCTGCAGATCTGTCTTGGCTTTGAAGCATGAAGGAAAATGATTTGAAATTATGGACGCCAGAAAGGATGAAGAAAGTTTTACTTTTCTGCTTGTAAACTTTCTTTGAAAAATCCAGTTAGTGGCGATTAAGTGTTAAATTGAAATTTTGGGGCGAGAACTATATATGTCATTTTGATCCCCTGAAGGAAAAGCAGAATATAAGTGCACCAAATATCTGCCGTTTTTCATTTCTGCTTCTGCAGAAAGAAATCCATTCTCTTGGAATAGCCTTGAATTCTTGGTGCTCCCAATTAGTTGTTTACTGAGTTGCTCTGCATGAAAAGCAAGAGAAATCTAGAAATTCCAAGATTTACAGGAATTCCAAGATTTACAAGTTTTCCAGTTGGTTGGAAAAAACACAGCAATTGGCTAGGTAGGCAAGTAGGTAAACTTTATTGCGGTCTTTGACCAAGTGTGTACATAAACACATACAGTATATACCTAAATTTTTATGTCTGTCATTAAAAATGGCAATTAAAAGAAGTTAAAAGAATTAGGAGGAAAGGAAAGTGAGAGAAGATTTTAAACATATTGAATAAATGCAGTTTTATTGGACAATATTTGTTGCCTCACTCTACATTATGGGTAGTCGTGATCTTATGACCTGCTAGAAGATAGGAGAATTTGTCTAGCAAATTCAGGCTTGTTGGGCAAAATGCTTAGCATTACAAGTTGAGAAGAGATTTATATGGTCTTCCCCCTCCCCATTCTTCTCTAGGGAGTGAGGTCTACAATGTCTTTAGCTTTGAAAAATAGAGGGTTTTTTTTAAGAGTTTGGACGACTGAGATCTTATCCTTCCTCTTAAGTCATCCTTGGCTAAAAGAGTCTTGGCTGAATCTGTCTCAGAAAGAAGGCTGCCTGTTGTATAAGGGAAGACATGTTCCGTATCTCTGAGCAGGAATGAGAGAAAGGGATTGTGTGTGCATCTGTGTGTGTCTGAGTGTGGACATATGCATCTCCTAACTTGGCAACCAAGTGCAGCCCTTGGAACCAAAACAGGCTGGATATCCTTGGTGTGAATTTGTACAAAGAAAACACATTTATATTTCTGAGCAGCATATATTTTCCCCAGCTTTTGGGCTTTATACGCTGATGTGAGAAAAATTAGAGTAAACTTCATTCGATGTTTACAAAGAAGGAGCCCTTACTCTCTCTCCCCCTTTCTCTTTTTCAACAAATAATTGCAGGTAATTGACATGAATGATTATCAACGAAGAAGATTTGCTTCTCGGATCATTGATAGCTTGTTCAACACTGTCACCGATAAGAAGATTGCTATTTTGGGGTTTGCATTTAAAAAGGACACTGGAGATACGAGGTAAAACAAGGGAAGCTCAAACAGCAGTTAGTCTAAACCAGGGTTCCTCAACCTCAGCGACTTTAAGATGGGTGGACTTCAACTCCCAGAATTCCCCAGCCAGCATGGGTCTAAACCAACTGCTTCTGTCCTACATTGATCCCAAACAAAGCCAACTCCTACACAGAGGAAATCCAAAACCAAATAAGTTTCAAGAATTGACTTTGTTTCTTTTTCTCATGTTTACCCTATCTGTCCATTCAAAGATCTCCTGCTATTTTTGAATGAGCTCACTTCACTTTTTTGCTTTTAGGATAAGCCACTCCTGTTCCCACCCTTAAACTTCAAAAATGGCCCCCCAGGGTCTGACTGCCAGCGATGACCTTCTGTAGCTTGCTGGTGTGGGGCTTTTGACCCAATCAGAGAGAGTTGGGCAACCTTTGGGTTACCGACTCTGCATTTAACACTTGGGAGGAGCAGTCATGCTCAACCTTTTGGATCTTACATCCCATCAGACACTGCCAAAGAACCTGGGGATGGGTGCCACCATGATAAAAACCAAAAGCCTTCTTGGTGTGTTTCCAGACGTTCCTCAGTGTTCCTCCTATCAACCCCCCAACCCTAGCTGTAATCCCCTTAAGGTGCTCCTCTTCGCCTGTTCCAAGTATGGGCTTCCCAAAACGGCTGCTGGGCACATATGGGTCCTGGTGGACAGTTGGCATGCAGGGCATGTACAGCTTTCAACCTCTTTCTGTCCCCATTTGACTGGCTCTTTTCCTCCTGCCTTTGCACAAGCTGATCTCCTCCATTCTGTGGCGTCCATCTCTGTCCCCTTGTTCTTGCCAGGGGATGAGGGACCTCTGCCAATGGCATTGTGTACCTGGCTTTCATTTGGCGGTGTGCCAGCCAACTGAAGAATGCCTGCTCCCCTAGGACAGGACCAGGGCCCATTGCACTCCCATGTGGAACACGCCCAAACACAGGTTTCCTTTTCTAATGGGGGACGTGCCTTGTCCAACCTAGAGAAGTGCATGGATTGCAAATGTGTACAGCAGCGGAGCAGTCCAGGAGGCTCAAAGAGAGGAGGCAACAAGGCCATGATCGATGCCCTCTCCCTCCAGTTCACCTGCATTCAGGCACGGGCCTGAAGCCCCAACCCGGATAAAGTAGTCCTGGATGAAAAGGAGAACTTTTCAAGCCAATACAACCTCCCTTCAGTCAGCCTGCCTGAATGTGTGGAGGCTGTAGGGCAGGGTTTTTCAGCCTCTGCTACTTTAAGAAGCGTGGACCTCAACTCCCAGAATTCCCCAGCCAGCATGCCCCAATTTTCCCCAGTGAAATTAGTGCCCTCCCCCCCTTCAAAAAACAGGAAAGGAGGGAAAGGGTGAAAGCTTGGGGCCTATCCACTCTGGCAGATGCAAAAAGGAGGCAGGGGGGCATTTTTTGCACCCCAGCACTGAAATAGCAGAGCACTCAAGGTTGTGGGTTTACAGCCTCTCTGCAACTTAACTATCTATTCCCCAAAGCTGTGTGAGTTTCATTTAATCAGTAGGTAAATACACTCCCGTGAGGATACCAGGCCAAGCCGGGAAGATTATCACCTGATGAACCTGATGCTAGTTACCTTTCACTTCTTCTCCTTTTATGGTCCTGGGGTTAACAGAGCATACAATCCTCTGATTTAACAGTAATCTCTAATTTCTAGTTTAAACCGTCTTCTCTTAGCCCCTGAGATTGAAATAAACAAGGTGCTTGCTTGTTTTTTTCCCCTTTAAACTTTCCAACGTTTGATTACAGGGTGAGCGGGAAAATATAAACTCATTCTGTTGCTATATTTTTGTTTTATATTTGATTACTAATAATTCTACTTGCAATGTGAAAATAAGAAGGTTATGGAGATTTGGGGTGTGTGGTTCTGACCATAACATAAATTCCAGCTGCTTGGCTTTGTCACGTGGTGCAAAATTGGGAGCCATACCAGAGTGCGCCTGTGTGTACACATGCGGGTGTCTTCCAGATGCTTGCATACCGGATGTATATAGGATCATAGAGGGAAGAAAAAGCTTTAATCCCCCCCTCAACAACTATCAGGGTATCTTCTTCCCTGCTACTAATAGCAGTAGAGGAACCTCATGCTAGAGAGGACATCAGCCATAGAGCCCTGCTCTAGCAATGGCCAGAGCAAAACTAACCTTTTCCAAGCATGAATAATGGTGTCAGCCCATTTTAGTAGGAGCCCTGGGGAGGGAGTTTAGAAGCTCAGCTGCAAACAGGCCATCAAGCAGCAACACGTGTAGAAAGGGCCATGTGGTCCAGCTGCCCTCTTAACTTTTGCACCTTGCCCCCACAGACACCCGTGTTATCAAGAGTTATAGTAGTTGTAGGCCATAATTTTGTGTTTTCCTCCAAAGGAGAATAAATTCCAAAAAACAAATACATGTTTTAATTTCTAAAGGTCTTGCTTGCAAAACTACATTGATAATTCCAGCGTGCTAAGATTAGATTTAAAAAATGGATAGAGCTTTAGTTGCAAACTCTCTAGGCAAATACTATGTGTCTTTACACAAAAGTAAATCCCATTATATTCAGTGGTGCATAGTCTGTAATACCCATCTGTTTTGATAAGTTGTTAACAACTCCCACCCTGTAGAGTATAAACTTGCCTTTTCAACCTAGGTATCCTCGGTCAAATTTAGATGATGGTTACCAGAGGTAATGATTTCATGAGGTCGTATATTTTATTTTTAGAGAATCCTCCAGCATCTACATCAGCAAATATTTAATGGACGAAGGTGCAAGACTTCATATCTATGATCCCAAAGTGCTGAGAGAGCAAATCATTCTTGATCTTTCTCACCCAGGTGTATCAGAGGATGACCAAGGTGAGTGGGATTTGCTTTCTAAAAGCATTTCCAAGTCGGAGAAAGTAGGCAAGTAGACAGAATAAACGAGATAAACAACACTTTAAAACAAAGCAAAATCAGGATATTGAAAAGCTTTGTTAATCATTCATGTCAACGTTGGGGGAAAAGAGTGCTAATGAATACTTAAAAGAAGGAGTTCAAAAAACTGAGTGATCACTGAGTGAGGCCAGAGGTTAGACTGGTCACTACCTGTATGCTGTAATTCAGTCAAAAGAATACGGTATATGGGGATATTTCTTGGAAATATCTACCCATTATTGCTATAATGATATGCTTGAATGTGCTGAAATGTTTGAAGGCCAGGGAGCAACTGAAGAACAGTTCCACTGATTGGGGTTGAGGCTTCTGCGCTCCTGTATGAACTGTTTATGAAAGAAAGATACGTCATGCAAAATCAGATGATGCAACTTATATGTGCAGTATTAGGCAGAGAATTTCGGGTGTCTCGGTACGTAAAGAATTATTTTTATCAGTACAGAGTAGATTTAGTGAGGTTTCCTTGCCTCTTCTCTTATTGAATCTCCTATCCCCAGTTGCTTCAGTTATGCTCTGTGTGACACTGTTTACTCTAAAAGAGAATAGCGGGAGGAGGGTGTATTGTACTGTACGCGCAGGGTACAAACAGACCTGGTTATATAATTCAGTGAAATGTAGCAGAGCAAACACAGAAAGCTGGAAAGAAAACACAACTGAAGTCCTGCTTCCTTTTGATGGGATAGTTGTCCAGTGCTTAAATCTCTCCCACTGAAATTAACAGGTTTAAATGGGCTTCTCTTTGGCCAAATAATGCTCATTGTTTGATGCCTTCTTCTGTCTCTCTTTCTCTATCCATTATAGTATCACGACTAGTCACCATTAGTAAGGACCCCTACGAAGCGTGTGATGAGGCCCACGCTCTTGTCATCTGCACAGAGTGGGACATGTTTAAGGTAAATACGGTGAAGCCCCATGCAGAGTATCCGATGCAAGTCATTCCTGCCGCTGAAACATTATTTGGGATCATTTTCAGGAGCTGGATTACGAGCGTATTCACAAAAAGATGTTGAAGCCAGCTTTTATCTTTGATGGCAGGAGAGTCCTGGATGACCTTCATAATCAATTGCAAGTGATTGGTTTCCAGGTATTATCTTGTTCCCTTCTTTTGCTCACTAACAGTGCAACCAGCTTCAACTAATCCATGGTTTCCTTGAACCACCCCGATCTCTGAGTCTGCATAACACTGAACTAGAAAGTAGCCATGTGGGTTGGGTTTGCACAACAAATTAAGAGTAAAATGCGTGGTTAGTTTGTAGTTCAGCATCTCATGTGAAAACAGCCAGTAGGTTGCCATATTTATCCGAGAGCTTCTCCAAACGTTAGCAAGGAAAGAAGGAACATTGGCTTTTCTTTCTCTTTCCATCCTGAAAGCTTGAAGCTTCACTGCCTTAAAGACAAGGCTGGGCACCATCAAAGCTTCCACTTCAGAACCCTTGCTGTACCTTGAACTGGGAGACCTAGCCTCACTCACCTCTGCACCTTTCCCATCCACAGCCTGATGGGAAAGGTTCAGACTCATCGTTACAGGAGAACAGCTCATTCGGCTTGGCTTGCCTGCTGTCGGTAAGGCAACAGCTACTGACAGCTTCACTCAACCTCTTGCTTTTCAAGAAAGGGGCAGGGAGTTGCTGCTCCAAGGTGGTCAGGCATCCTGGGAAAGGGAGCCATATCCAGCTTGTTTCCTTCTGGCACAGGTAGACGGGGTCCACAGGGAGGCAAATGTTGAAACTCGCATCACAGTGCAAAGCACGTGACATACGTGACCTTGGGACACAAGCAGGGACAGCCAGGGTTTGCTTTGTGATGCATGTTCCACCATCTTTGCATCGTTAGAGTTTGTCCCAGATGCCTCTGCTCAGGTGCGAACCCTGCACCAAGGTGTTCCTGCTGCCTTGGTGCATCAGTTCCATGCTTGTTTTTTCCATCCTGGCCCCGTGACAGAGAAGCTATCGAAGTCTGCCCTAAGCCTTCATGTTCCCCAGTGGTGCAGGTGGGGACCACCGGAGGGCCTTGAAAGGGCAGCGTCCGAAGGAGCTGCAAAAAGGCTGTAGGTGGTTGGGTGTGCCACTGATGACAATCTTAGTGCAGTTTTAATACCACTGCCAATTCACTTGCACAAAACTGTTAAAAGTCCTTTTTTGTACTACGTGGCATTAGAAAAAAAGTACAAATTTCATTCTTTTTCCATCTTCAGAAAGAACTTCTCTGGGAAGATCAGCTTATGGTATGTTTTGTCAGCTGACTTTGTCTAATTTTCTTTTCGCTTCAGATTGAGACAATTGGAAAGAAAATATCAGCCAAAAGAATTCCCTTTGCTTCTTCCTGCGACATACCAAAGTTCAGCTTGCAAGAGCCTCCTCTTAAGAAGCCAAGAGTATAGGTTTCATTGGTACAGAAAAGTTGGAATAGAAGAAAAAAGAAGAAGAAAATAATAGGCACCTTTGAGCCACAATAAAGCATTTAAAATGTTTTTATTTCAATAGGGGATTTAAATATCTCCCTCTGAAATCAGCGAGACCATGTTCAGCTCTGGCTAAATGGAATTTAGTATTTTTGCATAGTTAAAAGGATTTTATAAGAACCATACAGTAGCATTGTATCTGGGACATTTTCAATCCAGATTGTGTTTTATAATGTCTATTTTTCTAATATTGTAACTTCTATCAATGAAGTGAAACTATACAGCCATAAAGTTTTAGTATTTTTTAAGAGAACAACCTGTCTGCTTCAAACTTCAAGACTAGGTTTTTGCAAGACTCACAAACTTCATTTTAGTTTTTGATGTCTTGGGTTAAAATTAGAAGAAAGCAAGAACCCCCCTATCCTATTTGATATTGTAGTCTATATTATACCATGTAACATTCTTCATGTTGGAAGTTTGAATTAGACTGTTGTCAGGTACGGTCAGTTTATTCAGTTAAGACATACTTTTTTGCTATAAGAGTGAAGTCAAGATATTAATAGAATGATGGTTGAGGGTATTTGCATAAAAATATGCTTATTCCAGAGGGGGCCCAAGATAGGAAATAATTGATTCTGCTTTCTCTTCAGTTGCTGATATGTTGTCCATCAGTTTCAGAGTTTTCTATGGAAGCCTACCTTAGAAGCTAAGCTAAGTATGTTTCTTATTGTGGTTAAAAGCAATCTCGGGACTTTAATTGTAGTTCCCTCCACATATTGAATTGATCTGATCTCAAAACAATATATTAAGCTTTGATTTGTTTAACCATAGTTTACTGAATAAATCAAAATGGTTGGGTTCATACAACACACTAAGTCAAGACCAAACAAGGTAGAATATGGTTTAAGCCTGCCGTGTGAACTAGGACAAAGAATACCCTTAAATATCTTGGAACGTGAACATCCTCTCCTTTTTCAGGGAGTCTGAGACATTAGTCCTACTGATATCCTTTCCTGTCTTTATTACAAGAGATATTCCGGGGATCTGATTCTTTTGCAGCTTGCTTCATTTCATTTTGTTGTGCCAGTGAACTATGGCACATAAGAGCTGTAGATAATGGCAAAAAGGAGGTGTTTCTGTTTCTCACTTCCAGTGTGTTTAGTATGACATTGGAATGGGATCACTGTGTAATTCTCACCCACATTTGTACTGAAAATCATCAGAATAGAAATCCACCTTCTCCTTGGGTCAGCTGTAAACATCTCTCCAAATTGCCGTTTTGTCAAAACTGCCTCAAAATTAATGTCAAATCATTTTTCTTTTTTCTGACTCAGCCTCATTGATACCTTGCATAAAGTAGTCTGGCTAGTTGGGAAAAAGCTAACATTGTACCTGAGCTTGAAGCCAACAGTTTAACCCGACTACCACAGAATTTAGGTTTTTCCTTTTTGATAACTGAGTTAACATTCAAGAATGTTGTAGGAGCAAAAGTTCTAGACCTCTAAGAGAACAAAACCATATATTATGTATTAATCAGCTCACTACCTCATTGCAATGAGAGAATAATTGTGTTATGTTTAGTGATATTAAGCCAATGTATTGTTCATGTTTGTTACAGTGTTAAAAAGGCAGTTCTTCATAGATAAGGTCACATTTTTCAGTATATTGTGTTTCATAGCATGAGATCACCACCCCAAAAGAAAACATATTTCCCTCCCTCCCCCCAAAAGGATTGGTTAATATATTTTGTTTGACAGCATATGTATTGTCTTAAAGTTTTGAATTGCATCTTGTTACTAAAAGTGAGAGGATTCCAACATTTTTTTCAATGTTGTCATTGCTTATAATACAGCAGTTCCCCTTACGTATGGCCCTCTTTTCCACTAGCCCAAAGAAACACCTAAGAAATAGAAATCTAAACAGGTAATCCAGTGGAAATTCTCATGATCTCTGATATGAGATGAATGTGGAAATATAGGATTAAAAAGTGGCACGAATGCCTTGTGGAACTGAAAGTAAAAAGCTAACCATTGGCTCATGTCCTACAGTTTTTGAAGTCTGGAGCTTAATTTTGAACTCTCCCAAAACTAACACACTCTCTGCTTCAGGGAGTGAGAAAGAACAGAAGTTTTTGGGCCAAAAGTTTCCCCAAACTTCCAGAGCAGGTAATTATCTAGGATTAGAGGCACGACTTCTTTCCCATTCTGTTCCAATGAGACTTTCCATTTATGAAAAGTAAGTTCTGGACCTAATCTATTACCTAGTTTTTCCCAATGTTTTGACGAGCTTCAGAGTTCAGTCTTGTCTGGTAAAGTCTCTATTTTTGGCAGGATTCATTTTTGTTTCCTGGTATTGCATTGAACATGATGAACAGTTATGGACCCTACAATCAAGTTTTTCTCTGTAATTCTGCTTTCTATATCTGAAGTTTTCCCCCTCACACTTCCAGCAATTAGGTTATTTAGGGTGAGGGATGACATCAGAATATAGTAATTGTCTCTATAAATACCTCCTGTCAGTCTGAGAATTAGCTTGCTCTTAAGAGCATCTATGCCATAGATTTTTATAAATTCATCCATAGTATGCCTCCTTGAATTTCAGCCTATTGCCAGCATACTATCATTACTTTATTCTATTCTATCTGTCTATTACTGCATTGTGAAAATCCCTTGATTCTCTGCCTTAAAATGTAACAATACTACAGCTAGTTCTGTCAGTCCCGTTGCCACACAACTGCTGACAGGAGTGAATGGTTCACAATATAGAATCAAAATAGCATCAACATTTTCCCTAAAACATGTAGCATTGGGCTTCCTAACCCATCAAGAACATCATTTACCATGCAGTTTCGTTTCATCCTATTTATGGTCAATGAGAAAATACATGTACTCTGTGCGTAGAACTTTCACATAAACAGTGATATGACTGAGAGCTATCTCATGAGTGGGATTGTTCAGAAGAATTGAACAGATGCTTAGCAAAGTGTGTGGGGGTCACCAGAGCATCCCTCCTCCAAAAATGATTACTGCTGAGATAGTTAAAAGATGCATATGAATCTTTTGATTCCCTAATGTATATGCTCATGCTACTTCTGTTTTTCTTGATAAGTCTGAAAGCCACTTAATGTATAACAAATTACTTTTTGTACAACATTAGAACATGTAAGAGCCCAGGAACAAATCAAATATTTTGTAGCGAGGTTTAATTTTGATAAAGCAACACAAGCCTTCCAAACTGATTATTGGGTTTATCTGTGATGTTGCCATCTAGAATGTTACAATTAAAGTAGTGGAATTCTTCCTGTTGGTGTTGACACTTCAGATGTCTTTTTTCTTCCTCGTGTGTATTAAGTTTTTCAAGAAAAATTCACCTGCCCAGCCCAAAACAAAAGCAGGAGTTTTAACTAAGCAGCAAAATCTCCATTTGTACTTGTTCTCATTATTACAGGAAAATACAGGAGAAGCATCAACTATGGGAAGGAATCTGAAAAGATCTCCTGGCTCTCTGTTCTCAAGCACAAAGGCTGTGCAGTTCTTTGGGGTTCATTCCCCAAAAGGGTTTCAGAGTGTGGGAGAGCCCAAACGTAGCAGCTGGCCAACGGTCTTTAAGGCAGCTCTCCCTTTTGCTGGGGCTGTGCAGCTCCCCCTTGCACCCAAGAAAAGGTGGTAGTTCTTGAACATACCCAGCCAGGGGCTGTGTTTACACCCCAAGCATTTCAAAGCACCTTTGGGGAAATCAGATCCAAAGTTCCATACAGCCATATTCAGCACCGTAGGGATTAAGTTAAAGGGAGCAGCTCACTCACAATTTCTACATCATATTTCTGCAAGATGAAATGAAATGAAATCTGTTTTTCAGCCACAGGCCTATATAAATATATGTAGGATGAGTGATGGAATTCAGGAATTTTAATTTAGAATAACTCTCAAGGTGTTCAGCAACTGGAAAAAAGTCCCCAACCATAGTCTTCAACAAACTAATAAGCCAATTCTACCCATGCTTGCAGAAAGGACAAAATACCATGACTTGAACGAAATTTATTCCCAAGCAAAACTCTGCAGGGCTCTAGCTGTACCTTTGCTTATTACAAGAGACTTCAAAACAGTTGAGACATCCCTACTCTGAATGGCCATATTTGCCAAATCCTGTTCCTCCTACGTAACCTCATCCCAGGAGACTTCTGACCAGAAGATGGTAGTGCCAGGACACCTGATAGATGCTGGCTTTTGCGACGAGGCTAACACCAAGCAAGCAAAGTGATGGGGTAACTGTTGGGAGAAGACACACCAAGTACTGGTAGAAATGTTAATCATATTATTTTCGCACATCATTGTGCTACACACTGGTACTTCTATTTCAACTAGCAGCAATCAGCACGGGTTAACAACGTAAGGCTGAGGTGCTCATAATGTTACAAATTACCTAGCAATTTACATCTGAATTAACCCTGGCTACAGTCTGCTGCACACTGGATACGTGAAGTTGGCATCAGGGCCCAATTAATATGGAGCATAACTGAAATACCAGACCAGTTCAACTAATAAGTAGAAATAAAATAAAAATCTTGCATATTTAGTAGGAGAGCTAGTTTGTTGTGGTTAAGGCATCAGGTTAGAAACCGGGGGACCGTGAGTTCTAGTCCTGCCTTAGGCACACAGCCAGCTGGGTGAGCTTGAGCCAGTCATTCTTTCTCAGCCCTAGGTAGGAGGCAATGGCAAATCACTTCCAAATTCTTGCCAAGAAAACTGCAGGGACTAGTCCAGGCAGTCACCAGGAGTCAAGACTGACTTGAAAAAAAAAAAAAACATTGCACAGCCAAGCAATGTTCATACCTAACAGGGACAAAGGTGTCCCTGAGGGACTCAAAGCACCTTTGTCCACTTCAGATCCAAATACTGTTGCCTAGTAATATTTAGTTAATAATAATTTAACAATCTATTGCACTCATAACCATTGTGATTGGGGCTAGTGACACATTTATGGTCCTGCTAATCTGACAAACCACACATTTTACCTGCTTTGTAAGACGAACGCACAAGAGGCCCACTAGCAGTGTAATGAAATCCAAGTTCGTTTCCAACTTTCTCCCAGTATTTAAACTTCTCTGGAGTAATATATTCTTCAACCTGCATAAAATAATGTTACAACGGCAGAAAAGTTATGGGTCATCTGAAGCAGGATTGCTTTCTAATTGTTTTCACAAAAGCACTTTCGTACTTCCGTTCAGATACATTTCAGGGTAGAATCCTCTCTTTGATCTCAGGTGCACTGTGCAAAGGGAAGGAAAAATGATGCTGTTGGATTCTCTATTAAACCTCACAACTGGGCAAATGGCCACGTTTAAACCCTTTAATACCGCCCCCCAGGTTTGTCTCCAAAGAAATCCAGAGCTTGCCACTAGTATTATGCAAAATGTTTCAATCTGAACTGTTCTGAAGCTGAAATATCTCACCTCAAGTTTGAAATGTCCCATTTCAAGTGCAAAACAATTGCTCTGAAGACAAAACAGGGTGTTTGAGCATTTTGGAAGCTTCCAAAAGCTATCTGGGGCTCAAAAGATTGCATTTTAATCTTGGAATGTGTTCTAAAATGCTCCAATTAACTGTTTTGTGCTTGGGCTAGGGTATTGTGAACCCAAAATGCGAGGCTAAATTCAAAATGTTTATTGCCCTCAGTTAAATGCAATCAATATTAGTCCAGATTTTTTTCAACAAGTTTTAGAATATTTTAAGCAATGAATTTTAAGCCTCCAATTTAGTTTTTAAAATATCACCTTTAAGTGCCTCTTTGTTGGTTGCATGTACTGTCCCAAGGTCAAGCAATCCACGTCTGCTTCACGTAATCCTGTTTTTTTTTTTAAAAAAAGACATTTTTAGTAAATGATAGAACCATGATTTGGCGTTATTTTCTACTTCCCGTTCGCTTGGAAGTAAACATCACTGATTTCACTAGCCCTTGTTCTCAAGTAATGCAGTAAGATTCCCATTAAAAAGCAAGTAAATGGTTCTCCCCTTAAAGTATTAACCAGGTTCAACCCTGCTTCGTGCTGAACTCTTCATGGGGACTATTAAATAATGCTGGTTTTATTAAATATAAAAGATACGTATCAACACTTGATATATTTAGAGTCAAACATCAGCATAAGCTTCCCAATATGGTGTCAAAACATTACCTTTGCAAAGAATAACAGTCAAATCTCACTTGCCTTAAGCTCTTTTGAAACAAATCCTCGGCCATTAACCCAAGGATCCACTATGAATCATGGCTTTGGGGTATGAGGGTTTCTTGCTAATGGTGTACACGAAATCATTACTAACATTGAGGGATGGGGAGAAATTAATTTCATCTCCATTTTTAAGAGATCTAATTTTCATTTCCCTGGCTAACACACAGATCATATCACCATTCTTTTTGCTGGCAAAAGAAAAATGGCTTTCGTGGTGTAGTCCTCAACACAAACACTGTGTAACTAAAAGTGCATCAGGAAGAAATTGCATATAAAAAGCACTCTAAAATATGCCAATTGATATGAAAATTGGATGAGGCAAACTTACGACTGAAAATACTAATACATTGATCTCAACCAGGGGGTGGAGTGTAAAAAAGTCAAGGTGGTGGCTGTGCAATCCAAGCCCTGTCCTTTTTTAATGGGAATCACGTGTGCAACAAATGTAAATAAGGGTGGGACACTGATTGCACACTTGCAGCTGCTATATTGACGTTTTTGACCCTCTACCCCCCCGTCACCTCTGCTCTCAACTTACTTTTCAGTGTGGCATGTAACTGTTCATCAGTTTCCCCCAGACCAAGCATGATA